GGCCAAGCCGCCCTGTCTGTGTCAATAGACGTAGACAGGGAGGCTTGGGAGGGAGCCCAATGAGTGCCCCCATTGAAAGTGTTTTTCTATAGGGGCACTGGATGGGGGGGGGGGGGGCAGGAGCACTGGCAGAGGACCTGAGAAGAGGAGGCATGGGGCTACTCTTTGCAAAACAACTGCACAGGGCAGGTACGTATAACATGTTTGTTATTTAAAAATAAGGGTTTATAATCTGAAGCTTTATTATCATTTTAACCTCCCTGGCGGTATTCCCGAGTGTAGCTCGGGGTAAAGTTTCAGTACCAAAAGCGATAACCCCGAGCTACACTTGGGCTTACCATGCGGTGTTGCACAGGGATTCCCTACAGCACTTACCTTGTCCTTCGCTCCCGCAATGCGTCCCCTTAAGCGTCCCCGGCCATCTTCCTCCGGCCGATGCCGGCATCCGGCTTCCGTGTTCCGGTCCCTGTGATGTCGGGACGTACGGGCAAATTTGAAAATTTTAAAAAAAATTTAACTTTTTTTAAAATGAATATTACATAGCAAAACATTCCTGTATCAAAGCATTTCACATACATTTTGTCCCTACTGCTTTGTCCTGTGCCTTGCCTGCATTTTGACTGTTCTTTCTGCTTGGAAACTTAGAAAAGTCCATGGCGTCCAAAAAGCGTCCCTTTAGGTCAAAATCGGTTTTAGACCGGCTAGAGAACAGCGATAGTAAATCAGAACTAGTTGCAGAATTGAGTGATAATGATTCGTGGGGAAATTCGTCATCAGACACTGAAAACAATTTTGCGACTTTGCTCAGCGATGTGCGAACTTGGCGCTATATTTCAAAATTCAGTGTTTTTGGTTTGATTATATTATTAAATTAAATTTATTATTATTATATTATTATTTTTTATGAGTATTTATTACATTATAATTTATGATTTCGTGTTTCAAGTTTTATCATATCCGGAATGTTTACTAGACTCTTGTTCGGACAGATTTCAAGGAGTTATTCCTAAATTACAGGCCTACAATAAAAAAAAAAATACATATTTCCATGCAAAAAAATGGTACTGCTTTCAGCACCAAAAATCTGAAATAATCATAAAAAGTTTTAAATATATTCTCATTAGTCACAAAATTAATCTTCTGGGTTTCAAATTCCTTTGCAGCCCCAGATATTACCCTAAAATAAGTTGTGAGCATCACTGCGTTGCACAAGTGCAGAGGGCAGAGCTGTGGGTGAGACCCAGAATATCCATCAACTACAGCATCAGTCTCCAAACTGTGGTCCTGGGGCCAGATGTCGCCTTTTTCTTGCCTTTATCTGGCCCTTGGGGCACTATTCCACCAACTGACACCAGTGATGGGACACTATTTCGCCCACTGACACCATCAATAGCACTTTTCATCCCATTGATACCAACGATGGGGCCTTCTTCCTCCCATTAAAATCAATGATGGGGCATGGTTTATGCCACTGACACCAGGACATTTTCTTCTGCCAAGTAAGCATATGCATACCTTTTGAATTTAGCAATATTTGTTTAGTACAGATCTCAGCTTTAAAGGAAAGCTTAAACGCCATCTCCAAATAAAAATAAAATGTAAAATATTCATTGTGATTCAATTACTTGGCCTTTCAATCTTGCTTCCAAACACCTCTTCCCAAACCATCCTGCAATGTAATCGATCTCAGAGTTACCTCTATAAGCCCAGCTAATATCCTGCCCTACGGACCAGGCATTTTTCCCTGTATTTTTTTCACACTGGTCTCTTCACCACCCCCATGAGTTCTCCTTGTTGCCTCTGCAGCCTACAAGAGAGGACCCGGCCACTGGAAGTGCTGCCTCCACCAAGAGAAGGTGGACATTCGAATAAGGACCCCAGGAAGTAAAGTGGAGTTGGGAAGGAGGGGTGGGGGGTACAAATATCCCAGAGTTGGATTCAATTTTGTACCATACCCTTTTAATTACTCCTTTAAATTACTCCTTCTACCACCTCGATTTTCCTCTTTAGAGACTTTGGTTTTCAAAGATGTTGTTGTGTTTGAGCACCTTTATCAGAGACTGTGGTAGACAAACACATTTTTAGTTATCAATATGGACTATATGAGGTTTATATGATCAAATATGGCAGCTCCAAACTATATTGTCCAGATGGATTTCTCATAATTATTTATTTTTTCAGTTGAAATGGGATATCAATAACAAGAAGAGTGGGATATTATAACAAGTTGGAGGGAGCAATCATTACACAGATTCATACAATGCTGTCCTTTCATTAACTTACACTGTAGAAGGATATTCATTGGGGTTGATTTACCAAAGGTGGGTAGACTGTATAGGAGGTGCACTGTGCTAGGGAATTTCCCTAAAGCTTAGAGAAAGTGGTGAATTTTCCCTTTGCAATGAATACCCAATCATGTCCGTGGAAAATAAGAAAAATAGCATTATTGTTTGCACATGATTGGATGATGAGAGTTAGTTCACCTTTCACTGAACTCTGGAGAAAATTCCCTTCCAAAGTGAACACTCTATTTGTCTTTAAAAGAGCCCAGTAGGCAAGTGGTTAATAAATCAACCCATTGATTATCAGCTTGGAGGGGTTGCTTACATTTCATTTTTTTTGTTAATTTAAAGGATAAGAGCACTTTTAAAGTTTTTATCCCTCTTCCAATATTTTTAATAATCATACATTGCGCTTTCTGGTTAGTGCAATCTATACTCATCACCTTATAAGGAACACGGTCACAGAGTGTCATCAGTTTTCATTACTCTGCCTTGAGAGGTATCATTGTTATCACCGTGCACTTTATAACGCTGATTCTGGACGTTTGCACTTGTCACTATTGATTACGCCATTGAGCGTCATTTTATTCCATTATATTCTCATTACTATTTAGTCACTTATCCCTCTATGTAGAGGAACAAGTTTTTATGAGTTTGTTGGTGGATTTTTATGAATTTTATGCTTCATTTATCTTTAGTTTTTATTAGCGCTGAATGTTTTATGTATATACTTACTACGGAGGTTTTTGAGGTTTGCCTTTCATGCTAGCTGCTCTTTGTTTTTATCCAGCACTCGTTCATTTATTCTGTCATACATACTTGAATTGCACCTGCAAGGAGATCACCACAATGCAGCTTGTCCGCACAGCCTTCAAAATCGGAACCCCCTGCACATGGCATAAACTCTACTGACAACAATCTAAAGCTCTTATGCACTCAATCACCCTGTCACTGGGCCTGCACACAGATCCAGTAAGTATAACATGCTTGTTATTTTTTTTAAAAAGGAAAGTTCACAATCACTTTAAAGTAGTTCTAGAGGTAGGTTTTTTTTTTTACCTTAATGCATTAGGGTAAAAAACCTTTTGGGTGCAGCTCCTCCCTCAGCCCCCCTCATATACTTACATGAGCCCCCTTTGAATCCAGCTATATACATCCTGTGGCTCCCCCAGGTCTCTCTCTCCCCATTGGCTCATACAGCAGTGGGAACCATTGGCTTCTGCTGCTGTCAATCACAGCCAGTGAGCCATTGAGTAGACAGTGAAGGTGGGGCCGAACTGCACTCTGTGTTTGAATGAACAAGGCCCATTCACAGGAGTACGGCTCGGGAGTGAGCTTGCTTGAGTACCCACATAGTAAGAGGCTTGCTATTGGGGGCACTCTGCAGGGGGGAGGATCCAGGACTGCCAGCAGAGGACCTAAAAAGAAGATCAGGGTTGCTCTGTGAAAAAGCATTGGCCAGAGCAAGTAAGTATAACATGTTTGTTATTAAGAATTACACCTTTTAGAATCACAGAACCCTCATAGATTGTTCCTATTGTTCACCATATATAGGAGTGATCAGGGGCGGACTGACCATTTGGAAACTCGGGCACTGCCCGAGGGCCCGGGGTCAGTAGGGGGCCCCTGGTACCTTTTTCATAGGCTTTTTTGAGTTTGGGCAAGGACACAGGGGCCCCATGATCCCCTATTGCCCGGGGCCCCATGAGTTGTCAGTCCGCCCCCTGGAAGTGATATAAGTTTCTATGGCAAGTAATCACTAAAACATATGTTTAAATCATATTAAGTAACACCACCATTGTATTTGCGTAGAATCCTGGGGTAGATGTAGAAATTTCTCTAGGTGGCTGGTGTATCTCATACGGTATTGGTATTTCCTGCATATAATCTGACTTCAGGTTCATTTTAAAGGACTTTTAAAACCCTAAGGCACTGGTTTTGTGTGCAGCTTACCGGGAATACAATGGCATTTATCTGCAATAGATGACTTCCTATAAAGGTCGGTAAAAGATCTCTTTTTGAAGAGTTACAGTTTTAGAGCCCTCACTTAGATTAGGTAATACATTATGTCAGCCTGCTCTCCAAACATCGAAAAACAAAGCTTCTGATACACAGGAGAGCATCTTGAATGATGAGTTAATTTGGCAGGTGCCTTATGGGAATGTTCAACTCCTTTATATTAATCCACAAAGCCTGATTTTATTTTTCTATAAAAAGGGTTAAACTTGCACAAAGGGCAATTACCTCAAAACTAACGAGTTTAGTTTTTTCCATGGTCTATATATATCCAGCATTTATAGTGTATGGATTTCTACCTGTACCTGTTTTATCATAGAAAGCTGATCTGTAGTGAATTTACAAGTCCTGCTATTAAATTGTTGTTAACACTAAAACAACAAGAACACATGACCTGGTTCACTGCTCCAATCCCAACATGGAGAAATGTGGCAATTTCCCTCGTTGGTACCCTCTTCATCAGAGCAAGAGGGGACCAAGCCTTGAAACACATTAGCCATTTGAATTTTCTTCTTCTCATGTTGGGTTTGGAGCAATGAACCAGGCGATGTGGGACACTGTGGACATTTTATTGAGCTTTATATTCCATTCCAAGTTAAAGTGTTACTAAACCCCCGGACCCTGCATTCACTATATCTGGTCTCCCCGGACCTGCATTCACTATATCCTGGTCTCCCAGGACCCTGCATTCACTATAACTGGTCTCCCCGGACCCTACATTCACTATATCTGGTCTCCTAGGACCCTGCATTCACTATATCTGGTCTCCTAGGACCCTGCATTCACTATATCTGGTCTCCCAGGACCCTGCATTCACTATATCTGGTCTCCCAGGACCCTGCATTCACTATATCCGGTCTCCCAGGACCCTGCATTCACTATATCTGGTCTCCCCAGGACCCTGCATTCACTATATCTGGTCTTCCCAGGACCCTGCATTTTACTATATCCGGTCTCCCTGGACCCTGCATTCATTATATCTGGTCTCCCCGGACCCTGCATTCACTATATCCGCTCTCCCCCGGACCCTGCATTCACTATATCTGGTCTCCCCGGACTCTGCATTCACTATATCTGGTCTCCCAGGACTCTGCATTCACTATATCTGGTCTCCCTGGACCCTACATTCACTATATCTGGTCTCCCACAGTACACAGAACATGGAAATGCAATTATTTAGTAAATATAAACTGCTAAATACTTTTACTCATCAGCAGTTAGAGCAGTCTTGTGACTTCAGCAGAGTACTGGTTAAAGCTTATAGGAGGAGTTTTCTTTCTGCTCTAGGAGGATGTGAAACCCCTTGACCTCCTGTCTGGACAGTGCTGATTGGCCCTGTGCTGATTACATGCACTCTCGCTAGAAAAAAAAAAACCTCTGTAGCTATACACACCAAACTGAGCATGTGTATGTGACTACGGGTTCAGTCTGTATCAGGTGGTAATTTCAACAAGAGGAGGAACAGAGAAGAAAAGATCAAACTGCCTTTTTACTCAATGCAGGATTAACCCCTTAGGTTCCACAGTGAGTATAACAAGCATGCTTTACAGCACATACAGATTGATTTTACTGTTGTGGGTTTAGTAATACTTTAATGCGCAATGCTGGTACGCCCTCTGTTCCTGTTGTTTTAGTGTTCCTTTTGGATTCCCTCCAGTCCATGGGGGGGCTGCATGGTCTTGCTTAGAGTCAGGTTGCTGAAGATTAAAGCTTCACCATTTCCAGATCCGCTATCTTGCTATCTTGAGCGAAGGAGGTTGTTCATTTTGTTTGCACATTAAATTGTTGTTGCCCGATGTGTTCAGTTGCTGGGCTCACCTTTCATTTTCCTTGTTTTGTCTTCCTTTTAACATTTACTTGTGCCAGTTCTCAACCCAGGCGGATAAGCAGGGGGTTGCCTGTGACCAGGGGCGGACTGACAACTCATGGGGCCCCCGGGCAATAGGGGATCATGGGGCCCCTGTGTCCTTGCCCAAACTCAAAAAAGCCTATGAAAAAGGTAACGGGGCATCTCATGGGGCCCCCTACTGACCCTGGGCCCTCGGGCAGTGCCCGAGTTTCCAAATGGTCAGTCCACCCCTGCCTATGACTGTTAAATGCTAGATTAAATTGTAATAACAAACTTCCAGCTAATGGTATCATGTAAGAAAAAGTGTCATTGCATTTGAAAGTATTTACTTCATTCCTATGCATGCAGCAGTTGGTCCCATTCTATTCTTCCTGTGCAGAGTAATCCAACAGCTGCCCCCCTTCCCCCACTGTTGTTCGATCAAGATGCTAGCAAGAAGATAAATATTTAATAGGGACTGATTGACGGGGCTAATCTCGGGCAGCAGGCTCACCCTGGAGATGAGCACCATCATTCAGCACTTCAGGCAGGGCTGCTGTTAGAAACCACGGGGCCCCATACAGCCAACCTGACAGGCCCCCTCCCCATAAAAAAAAACACTGTTTACTATGCTTCAGTTATGAATGAACACAGTGAGTGATCATTACTGATCATTCATTGTGTTCATTCAGGAAAAGAAGGGGCTGGTAAATATGACAAATTTACCGGACCCTTCCCCCACTCTCTATCCTGAAGGATCTTATTGTGTTTTTGCAGAATGGACAGCAGGGGGAAACGCGCAGGGAGGGTGATGGGTGCATCGTATGTACTCTCCAGCGCCTCAGGATATGCACAGCCAAAAGGGAAGCCAAGGGTACCAGGACAGCGACAACCAAAGGGTGATGGGTGCAGTGGGGTCAATTACTGGAACCGATCCCCTGTATGGCTCTCTCTGCGGCAGCTGAAAACTGGTGGGAGGAAGAGAAGAAGCTAGCTTTCAGCTGCTGCAGAGAAAGCCATACAGGGGATCAATTCCAGTAATTGCCCCCCCCCCCCACGCGCCGTGCCGATCACCCTCCCTGAGCACATCTGATTCATCCAGCTGTCGGGACCCCCCCTGTGTGCACCCACCCACTTACAGGAGAACTGGTGGTACCCCCCTATCCATGGCCCTGACTGCAGGGGTAGGGAGCAGCTCTGTTAATAGCACAAGACACTAGGAAACCATAAGCTAGAGCTGTAGGGTTGTGTAATCTTTCTGCCAGTGCAGTGGATGTTTATTAGCACAGAGTCCTGCAGTGCTGACTGATGCTTTGGTATTGTAAATGACCAGTAAGAACTACAGTGATGTATAAAAGATCTGTTGACTGCTAGTATATCACTGGCAGATAAATCACACAGCCTCACAGTGCTGACTGGTCCTTTACTATTGCGAATTAATGTGTGATCTATCTGCTGATGCATTCTATATTTACTAGCAGCTGGAAGACCTATCACACAACCCTTTAGCCCTGACCTGTGAATTAACAGACAAAAAGAGGCTGTGCTTAGTGCTGTGCTAAAACTCTCTTATAGGATAAATTGGGCTTCAGCCTGGGGAGGAGTTACAGCATCGCCTAAACATATTTAAAAATATGGTTTTAATGCACCAGGAACTACAGATCAGAATGCAACAGTCACTGGGGACTTAAGAAAGATTTTTGAATTGTAGTGATAATTCTTCTTTAATTAAATGAATTACATTACATTATCTTTGCCGGATGGAATAGTTTTTAAATATGTAATATAACTGAGTATTTAACTGCTTGCACCCATATGGAATAAAAATATGTTTGAAATATATTTTAAAAATATTCTTCCCAAATATATTGCCCTATACAGTATTTGATATGCTAAAATTTTGGCCATAGTCAATATATTTATATATATATATATATATATATATATATATATATATATATATATATATACTGCAATACTGCATGTTTAAATACGTTTTTATTACAAATTATATAAAAAATATTTTTTTAAAAATACATTTCAAATATACTGTATGTCTTTAAAAATACAAATCTACATTTTTGGAATGCATTTACAAATATAAGTAAAAATATATATTTAAAATTACTTTTTTATATGTTAAAAAAAATCTGAAGAACATATTTAAAAAAAAATGTTTTCCGACGGAGATATGTTAGCACATTTTATGCTTACACATGACCTTATGAGTAAGTGCCTGAGTGTGAAACACATTAACATATCTATTTTGGATCCTGGTGCTCTGATGCTTTTATAGTGATTTTGCTTCAGTAAAAACTTTTGGAGTGTCCTTACTTACAGTGTGCAGTCATCCCACTTGTCCTATTGAAATGTCTTTGTTTTAGAGCAAGGCAAATAAAGACTCTGGAAATGAGTATTGTGTGGACCGACCAGGAGGAATGCTTTTTTTTTGTTGTTGTAACAATTGGGTTATGGATGCCTATGGGTGACATCACAGTTCTAGGATTTCACAGCAGTTGTCTGGATCACATGACCAGACTGGACAAGATTTAAAAAAAAAGGTATGTTCACAGATCTTTTTATACAGCACAGGTAGGAAGAGGAGGGAGGGAGCTATTTTAAGAATACTTTATTTATTTATTTTATTACAGGTACTTATATAGTGCCGTCAATTTACACAGCACTTTACATATATATTGTACATTCACATCAGTTCCTAACCATCAACGGGCATATAATCTGAGGTCCTTAACTTACATTCATACATACACATACTAGGGCCAATTTAAACAGGATCCAATTAACCTACAAGCATGTCTTTGAAGTGTGGGAGGAAACCGGAGTACCCAGAGGAAACCCACGCAGGCACAGGGAGAACATGCAAACTCCAGGCAGGTGGTGCCATGGTTGGAATTTGAACCAATGACCCTAGTACTGCCAGGCAGAAGTTCTAACCATTTAGCCACTGTGCTGCCCAGTTAAAGTTAGCTTTTTCTTCCTCTTTAATTTATTGATCGTATCTCTTTTTACACTGTCTTAAAATCTGATTGCTTGAAATATGATCACAATTATAAACAAAGTACCTCACTGCTGACCATTGATGCAAAATAACTGAGAACTTTCTGTCCCAGCCAATCGACTCAGTATCATTGAATCTGATCTAAGCCGAGTCTAAATTGATTGGAAGGGAAGTTATGGCTGTTTGATCAGTTATTGCTTAGATCCTTTTGATGGTATTGCACATTAATCGGCTAGTGAAATTAAAGTTTGTATGGTTCTTGGCATATTTCACACCCAAGATATTTACACGAATCACAAACTAGACTCCTTCCCTGTTATCCAAAAGAAATTCCACCTTCCTGACAAGGAACAATTTACTATATGCGAATAGCCCGCTCATTACACAAAACAAATATACCACTCGAAATAGAAATCCCTGCAACCGCACACCAATTCTTCCATAGGCTACATCATCCAAAGAAAGGAATTTCAACTTTCTACTCACTTATAACTGAAACGCAATTTACCACATACACGTCTTCCTTAATCAACTGGGAAAAAAATATTCTCCAACCAACAACCCCACACACATGGGAAAAAACATTCAGCATCACTTTCAAAGCTTTCAAATGTAGCTCCCATTGGGAAACATATCTTAAAATCCTCCATCAATGGTACCTAACCCCGACTAAACTATCCTTATTCTACCCTCAACATTCGCAGACCTGCTGGAGTCACTGCGGAGAAACAGGCTCACTTTTTCACCTACTCTGGACATGTAAATCCCTTAAATCCTATTGGAACAAAGTTTTTCAGATAATCTCCTCACTCACAGGAACACCAGTAACCCCAAATCCCGTTCTGGCTCTCCTCCACATCGGAATAGATAAATTCCCTGTGAATTCACCCACCATTATTATCCACATTTTAGCAGCCGCAAAAACTAACATCACCAAACTATGGAGATCCATCACTTTTCCCCCCTTGTCCCGCCTCATATCTGACCTTAATTTCCAATGCAAGATGGAAAAAAGAACACCACTTCATAATTCCTCCTACCACAAATTTACGGCCCAATGGTCTTGATGGTTAAACAATCCCAATTGCTTAATAACATGATTACTATTAGATATCGTTACAATATACTCCATCCCTACTGATTTGGTGCTTCCCCCCCCTTTTTCCTTTACCCCGTGTTCTCCCCCTACTTACACTTACTAGTCTCCTAGAATGGTTCACAATACACCGAGCATACCTCTCATGTAAATACGATTAAGAACTATAGTTTCCCCAGCCATCTGGTGGGGACCCTCCACTTCTTTCTTAATTCTCCTTTCTATTTAG